AGAGCGGAGTTACCCTCTGCCCTTCCCAATTCCCTCATACCTGGAGGTCAGAGCAGAGGAGCTGCCGGGCTCTGCTGGGCTGGCAGTGCCGGCTCTGGTTGTGCATGCTATTAGCACCTCAGTTTGCTAGCTGGGAGGGTGGGAGGATGCAGCAGGCTCATAGGAGCAGTTACGGGCGTGAAAGTGCAAGAATTTCACCCGGGAGGTGTTGTGCATGCATGACATTTAACATTAGGTTGCTGAGGTCAAGCCCAGACACAGGGTTCTCTGTAACTTACGTTCTGTAGGTGGCTTTGTAGAAACACGAGCAAGCAATCATTCCTGGAGCTGCTACCTGGAGCTGCTTTCTGAGAATTCCTCTTCAGAGAAGGACATGGCAGCTTGTGCAGGTACGCGGGCCAGGGCAGCTCAGGGCTGTCTGGGGACGCAGCTCACTGACCGGCCCTCCCTCTGCCCCTGCACCCCAGCAGGGCAGAGCCCTCAGAGGCACGGGGTGGCTGCAAAAAGCAAACAACGTGCTGTTAGTCCTGCACGTGAAAGCTGAAGTGGAGTGTGCTGCAGAGGGAGGGCTGGCTCAGGGACCACTCTGGAAGCAGGTGGCTCGTGGCCACCATCAGGCAAGCGTTTGCCCTGTGTGCTGCAGCGCACGTGCTGGACCTGCCGGGGCCGTGAGGCCCTGGGTGGGCTCGTTGGAGAGAGGCAGGCAAAGGGCTTGACAATGACCTTGCCAGAAGAAAACAGGAGTAAACACCAAGATCAGGATGGACTCCAGTATCCATCTTCTCCTCCGAGCTCCCCGATCCCCCGCTCTGGCCGCCTGGGTTTGGCCCCAGGCTGTGCACAGGAGAAGGGCAGGAACTGACCCCTCTGGGAAGGGGTGGGATGGGGAGCCCCGGGGCAGGGTGGAGGGGACAGTGGGATCCATCCTGGACTTTTCAGCCTTGAAATCAAGGGGGCCTTGAAGCAGTTTCCTTCAGGCTTGGATGGCCCCGTTCGTCTCCTGCCCTTCCGATGAGCAGGTGTGGGTGGAGAGCCGGACGAACAAGGGACTTATGCTATGAATAATGCCAGGAGAAATGTGCCTGGAAAACAGAGCGTCGGGATGGGGCTCACGGGAGGCACTACGCCACCAGACAGAGCCTCCTGGGGCCAGGCCACTGGAGAGCTTGCCCTCCTCCCTGCCGAGCCACGCACTGCCCTTGCGCTACCCAGTGCCAGCCCTCGCGGGCAGGCAGGAGGGGACCCATTTCTTGCGATGACCTCTTAGCCCAGAGGCTGCTCATCCACACGCGGGCTGAAGCTGGGAGCAGTCTGGGTTACAAGAAGCACTGGCTGCATCTCTGGGAAACCATCCCGCTTCTCTGCCGTGCAGTGCCGGGCTGGCGAGGAGTGCCGGCACAGGCTCCCCACCCGCCCCCGTCA